GATTTGACCAAATATTTGATACCCTATTTCAGACATAATTTGCGCAGGGCTATTGTTGTTGACCATTAAAACGATGAAAAAGTACTTCCTTCTAAACAAACATACTCAATTCAACACTAGATCAGAGTGCAAAAAACATACTCTACTTGAGACCAAATGGCCAAAATCGATTCCCTATTTCCTGACCAAAACAGCTATTTAAAAAACCATACCTTTTGGGGTATAGTCTGTACAAAAAAGTAATACCGGACCCCCTCAGAGTTTTTGGGCATCTCATGCAGTCACGGGCATGAATAGATCTATCTTTCGCTCTATGTTTGAACAGTTGATTGTGCGTGTGCATGATTTGTTTTTCCCGGCTAGGAAAACCTTTTTCTGTTAAGTATAGATAACCCGATTGAAACCATTCACCCGTAAATAGCTGAAAAACTGTAATATGTGTCCGAATTGGAAAAGGCCAAAATAACTTTATCAACCGCCGAAAAAGTTCTCAATCAAATTGAACAAAAGGCATTCTTTCTTCTAAATTTAATCTTTAATCTTGCAATTGTGTATTTTCATAGAATATGAAAATAACAAAATAATTAAATTATGTAAACGTTCCTTTATTACTGAGAAGAATAGCTGAAACTTAATTCTTCAGAACTTTGTAGACGAATCCGTTGACTTCTTTTGGTAAACCTTCGCTGCCGAAATATGGCATTTTCTCCCTGGAAATATTCTGCCATTTTCCTGATTTCTCCAGCTCCAGCATCTTATCTTCATATTGCTTTACATCTTGATTGCGCATTGTAAAGCTGAAGATTCCTCCTGCAATAAGGGTAAAAGAAAATGGCGGAAGACCCTGTCAGCCTGGAGTCAAATCAAATTCATTAATTAGTAGTTCTTGAAAATACATTACGACTGTTGAATTATAACAACATTTACGTAACGTAAAATAGACAGCAAAAAACGGCGTACATGCGATCATGCCGAAAAATAGAGCGAGAAGCCTACTGAGTTATTTGACCTGAATCTTTAGAAAATCCGGTCAGAATAACACAGCACAGATTCGACAAGAACTGTTCTTTTGTGTCACTTACAGGTGTTTGTGACAGATGTTTCTGCAAGTCCAGTCAGAATTACACTGTATAATTACGTTGTACAAAAGACATCTCCGCCTTCCCCCTTTTCTAGAAACTTATTCTTTCGCGCCACATTCAAACTAACTCTCTCATCCTTACCACTTTTCACCATCCTCATCATCTCCTCAAGAGCCTTTGGTCGGACATGTGCCGGAATGAGTGTGCCAGTACAGATCAGCCCATGATACTCTCCTGTTTCTATCTCGGGATTGCGCTGTTCATTGAGTGGGGCGCAGATGAGCTTCGTGTAGGCCTTCGTCTTTTTTGCTTCATTTAACATTTCTTGTGAGATATCAATAGCGTCAATTTTCGTGTAGCCAAGTTTGGATAGTTCGACACCAGCAAGCCCTGTTCCGGCACCCGCGTCAATAATCTTGATCTGGCTTTGCGTTTCGTCTTGGTAAACCTGTTTGATTGCGGCGTCTAAAGATTTGGCCAGCGGCTTGTGATAAGCGACGCCGGCTCCATGCAGGACGTCCTAAAA